ATAAAATAACCACACTTTTATTGAAAGTAACACAATAAAATATCAATATTAAAAATATATTATATTAATATTAAATATCAATTTTTTTTATTCAGTTCTATGCAACAGAATCAGAAACAAATTTTTTTTTTTACTAATTATCCAAAGTAAAGTCTAGTCCTACAAAGCTATTATCATCAGAGCATGTGAGCAGAGCATAGCGTAATTTCACCAGATTGCCCAGAACAGCTGAACTACACCGTATACAGCACTGTAGCGCTTCTGCAAACAGCAACAAGTGTACTACACACAAATGACCTGACGGCGTCTTATTTGAGCGGACTTTGCTTTTCCGGTGAGCATGAGACGACTAGAGGGAGAGTGAAACCGGCGCGGCTTTTTTCAGCCAAAAAAACGAAAATGCTATTTTTGCCTGATCATTTTTGGCGGCTGAAAATCTGGTGCATCTCCAATTACATCGTATTGTACAGTCTGAGGTTTGTTCAAACTCTACACAATTCTGAATTCTCCAGTGCAACAGATAGCACATCAGGAGTCCTCCACTGGAAACTCTCCGAGGAGTGTAATTTACAGAGATAGCATGTGCAGACCCAACACATAATCATTGTTTGTGAGGAACGCGCACCTCCTCGCACACCTCCCTGACAGCAGCAGCACTGGGCTCCTCCTCGGGCTCCATCCCTCCTCCAGGAACGATCCATCGGTCCGGATGACTGCTGCTGCTCACCAGCAGCACCTGACACAGACACAGCACTGCCGTCAGAACAGAGGACATCACAGACACGGCGAACTACAGGGGTGTCCCATCCTGCTCCGGGACGTCCTGCAGAGTTCAGCTCCAGCCTTTAGTTCAGCTGGTCCAGGTGTGTTTAATTAGGTCTCCGCAGGACTGTGGGCCTCCAGGAACAGGTCCGGACACCCCTGCTGCTCTATTACAACCAAACATGTTCATACATCAAAGTGACGGGACATCCATCAAATACTCATCATAATAAGTGATGATTATTAGCAGCTAGCGTAATAAACTCGTAAGCTGGAGTGTGTCATTTTTTGGATGTCAAAATACTTCCTGCTATCCTGGCTTACTGTGCAAAGGTCGAGATGAAACCATTCGTAATCCTTTTACTTCTGATGAGTCTGAATGAAAGAAAACTCTAGGCCAAAGGATTTCAACGGTCAAATGTAAACAAATACAACTTTTAATTTGAGCTGGACAAATATTTCTTGGTTTAGCGTCATAAACGGAAGGGGAAAACACAATCTGCTTATTACAAATGTGTTCACAAACTCGTATCTGATTGTGAATAGTAACTGCTTACGGTTAGCAATAACCTTTGAGGACATACTCCGGTCATAACCGGTCCACATGGCCTGGGAAAAACATCCAGCCACCTGTGCAGCTGTGCAGCTAATTAAGTTTCTTAGTAACGAGATGTCAACATTAACAGAATGAGTAACTAACCCTTATAATGAGGGAGAATCATGATTAAAGGCAGCAGAGATGTATTCTATAACATTTTAACAACACTGTAGCTACTTGTGTGATTGTTACTGTAGCCTGATCTGATATTAGCCATCACATCAAAAAGGTGTCAGTAGCACGGTACAGATTTAGATAATAAAGTCAACGCCACTGTACAGATGATAGCCACGAGCCAGTGCATTTGATATTTACAGCACACTGCAAGGTAAAATCATGGGCTTTACACGTGTAAATGCCCCCAAAAATCAGGTTAAGAGTCCGTAAATATTTAAATGAGATTACAAAATCACTTATGTTTTTAAAGTAGTGACAAAAACAGTGGCATATTGGCGTAAATTCTAGTTACCGCGGTAAGTTTTACTAAACAGGTGACTATCTGATATGACTATAGATATGAGCAGACCTCGTTTCGCGGCCTTATAACAGCCGTATCCCTCACATACACGCATGCAGCTGCAGACAGTCCTCGGAGCATTAGCGTCCGTTTGTGTGGTGCAGTGATTGCTGGCGTCACCTCCTCCTCGCGCTCGCTGCGGAAGCACAGGCAGGCCGCGCGCTGTTTATAGCCGTCTCTGTCATACGTGCGCGTCTGGTTGGACTTCAGTTTTATCATCGCGCTCAACAGATCAAAGTCCTCCACCAAGCCTCACTGCAATCCCGCGCCCACAAGTGTTTGTTATTATTATTATTATTATTTATTAAAGCAACCGTCATTGTGGCATTAATATATACGTCTTTATAACTTGACAGATGTCACAGAAACCTCCACTGTTGAAAACTTCTTTCAATGGAAACACATTTTTAAAGTAGCGAAAGCCCGCTTGAAAGGTCGCTAAATGTGCTAGATGACGCCATACGCTAATTAGCATATTCATGACGTCGTTGCGTCGTGTCGTTCGCCTCCCTGTGTTCATGGCTTACGTGCTGTATTTTTAATACAGCCAGATTCTCAATAAAACTAGCATATATATATATTTATATATTTGTTATAAATTGGGATGAATATGAAACGCGGCCCATTGAGACTACATAACCAGCTCTCCCTTCCAAGATGTTAATCAGCACAGAAATCCTGATTTATAATCGAGCCGTGTCTGATGAAATCAAATAACGTTACACATAAGATAAAGACAATGGCTGTGCTGTGAACGCACTCTGCCTGTCAATCCCTTTGGACGCTTGAAATCACTGACATCCGATTTTTTATATATTTATATTCAAAAAGTATATTTATATAACATTTATTTTTATAATATTATAAAAAAAATCGAATAATCTTAATAATAAATTTCTATCGCAAAATCCCATTCTTAAAATCAAATATATTGGTGCTACACAGCATTGCTTCAACCTTTAAATCTGCCAATAAAATCCATCGAAGTATGTTTGAGTTCTGTAATTGTATAATATGTGTACTCCTCCTCGAGTTGGTTGTACCTGCGCTATATTAACCTGTATGATCACATGCTGGTATGCAGTGCAGTGTTGCCAACTGATTTTCAGGGGAAGTTGCTAAAGGAAGGTTGATTTGTTGCTAAAAGTTGCTAAATGACGCGATGTCATTGCGCAGTGACGTCATTGCGTAATCACGATGCAAAATTGTGTCACTGCATGAGCAGACCTCGTTTCGCGGCCTTATAACAGCCGTATCCCTCACATACACGCATGCAGCTGCAGACAGTCCTCGGAGCATTAGCGTCCGTTTGTGTGGTGCAGTGATTGCTGGCGTCACCTCCTCCTCGCGCTCGCTGCGGAAGCACAGGCAGGCCGCGCGCTGTTTATAGCCGTCTCTGTCATACGTGCGCGTCTGGTTGGACTTCAGTTTTATCATCGCGCTCAACAGATCAAAGTCCTCCACCAAGCCTCACTGCAATCCCGCGCCCACAAACCCTTCTAGAGGCCCTCTGCTAACATATATAGTCCCTCCGTCGCTTCATTTTGAGAGTCTTGTGAGCTTGTCTCGCACAGACGCCATTACGCTGAGCTCTGCGCAAACTGCGTCGCATTAAGGACAGCCTCGAGGCGCGTGTCCTCTTCGTGAATATGACGCTGCGCAGTAGAGGTGGCACTGGTTCAACGCGGACTAACGTTTACATATTACACAACTCCGGTGTGTTAACCGTAGAATCATGTTAAGTTGCTAAATCTAGCAACAAAATGGCTAAGTTGGCAACACTGATGCAGTGGCGACTGAGACTGACGTAAGCGTAGCTCCTCCCTCCAGCTCCCGCGTCATCGTGTCGTTTTCGCCGCAGGACTTGCTTCTCTATGGAAGGCGGACGGGGCCAAATGTCTTTAAACGGAACGCGTGAAATGCATAAATGTCATATTAAGTAACTGCTAATGATCCATATTGCACAGGTATTAATTGTAACATCTATTTATGTTATTGAATGTTTGTTTTAAGTTATACAGGACTATCATTTTCGAAAGTATATATAACTTTACACAGAACATATTATAACTGAATATACATATACTTAGACATAAAAATGAATAAAATATTTATATTTCTGTAATTATATTTATAAATATAAGTAAATAGCACTATGTACACAAAGGTGATTTATAGCAAATGTTCAGTTTAAATTAACAGACAGTGCAATGTCAACCCTAGAATGAATAAAGAAACATATAAACCATTTGTGATAACAAATCGCAAATGGTCATAAATGTTTCTTTAAAATCTTAAAAATTGTAACTATTCAAATGCATATAGAGACATATAAGTTATGTTATGACCCTGTATAGTTATTTGCTGTTCTGTCCCTGTGTTATTTTGGGAGAGTCTGTGTGTGACTATTTAATGCACTGGTTATACTTATCTATGGTTATACTTATCTATCTATTTAATGCACTGGTTATACTTACCCCCCCCACACTTGTAAGACAAACTTACGAGACTGATAATAATACTTATTTTATAATATAAATATATATATAGGCCTATATAAATAATAGGCCTACTTAGGCCTATTATTTTATATGTTTTTC